TCCGCCGCCGCCGCCGCCGCCGCCCTCCTACAGCAGCCTGTGAATCTGTCAGATCCTCCAGGATCTCTGCCCTCAACGTGTGTTCCTGGGCAGCTTCTCAGTCAGTGACTGTGTGCTCACCTGGGCCCCTGTATCTTCAGGCCAACCTGTCACCTCTGAAGAGCCACGGAAGGTCAGGGCCACCCTGGACTGGCGCACAGCCTGAAACCACCCAAAGATCTCTGGGAGCCACAGAATATTGACCAACAAATTACCTTCTTTAACTGCCAATTCTAAGTAAAATTCGTAAGCTGACCTCCCAGTACATCTCGGAAATATTTACGGAGAAGCTGATGCCAACACACGAAATGCTGTTTTCTCTACAGAGGGGGAGACAAAGAGGAGGAGGATATAACTTTTCTTGCAGTTTCGGTTCTCTCTTTATATGATGGGAGGACCGCCGCCTTATGAAGGAAGCCACAGTGAACTGGTGCAGTATGAAACGGCTTCCGTGATCTTTCTGCTGCACCCTGAGACACTTCACCATCTTCAAACTTCTCTTTTGTGATTCTGTGATTCTGTTAATTCTCAAGGAGCAGCAACTTGACCAGTTAATTCTCCCGGGAGCAGGCCAGATCCCTGCCACAGGAGCACCTCGGGCTGGAGAAGGAAGTGCCCTTTCAGATGGACTCTTGCCTGTTGAGTGTGCCTTCACATGGGTACCCACACTCATGCCTGGGGGGAATGTCTTTGAGGAGGAGAAATTGGGGCACAGGAGACTGTCTTGGGGATATGGACTTCTGTAGTGAGCTTCAAATCCGGTTGCCAATGAATAAAAGGCCTCAGAAAACAAGTCAAATGACTCAAAGCAACAGACAACCCAAACGTTGTCTTCAGTCCAGTGACATCATCTGGGGTCTCCCGGGGACTGCCTGATTTCCTTTAGCCTGGTCCCTTGCTGCTACTACCTTGAACTGTTTGTCTAACCTCTCTTTCTGTTTAATTCCTTACTACTGCCATTAGCCCTGCTGCAGGATTTGTGTCATCCCTCCTGCCTGGTTGCTGAGGCTCCATTTTGCTGCCACGCGTGGAGAAGAAAGAAGCAGGAGTAAAGGAGTGTGTTTCTACACAGTCTCCAATTGCCAAAACACCCCTTAAGCAGTAGAAAACAATGTGATATGTATATATTTCTAATTGCCTATCAGGAAGAGGAGTTTAATGGTGAAGTTTCATTGTTTCATCAACATCATCTTTCACTATTCATTATCATTCACCCTTATTCTTGCATGTTTAAATACTTAAATATTTTAGCTGTAGATTAGTGGTATCCTTTTTAACAACTTTAGAGTGGGACTGCTCATATTATTTCCATTGAATTACAAAGTACTATTCAATTCTTACTATGTTAGAGTTAAGCTAATTAAAATCGAGTAAGTAATGTAATGTAAAATACTGTGAACTTCTCTTAACAAACACTGTGAATTAGAGGCTCCTCGGAACTGGAGTTTTGTATAATAGTTCATCTTGTTCATCTTCAACCTTTTATTTTAACATCATATGTAATTTTAGTTTTAACAATTAGGCCTCTAAAACACACACACACACACACACACACACACACACAAATATGCAAATCCAAAGAAGATACCTAATTGGCTATTTACTCCAAAACAACTTTCTTTTTCTTTTTCAATGGAATCAGACAACTTGTCAGTCACTCATGTGTTTTTAAAGTACGTCATTATTTTTTAAATGGTGCATTTGTGCTTCTGGACTATTTTGAAGCGTCACTCCGTTTACCTCAGATATCAATCCATCCTCCATATCTTTGAATTCAAGTTGTGTTGTGTCAAATTTATAGTTGTCAATTGATCTTCAAGCTGCAGGGGGCCTAGAAATGGCTCATTGTCTGCAGCCCAACATGTGCACACGGACATTTGCCATCACTGCAAGCAAAAGCCTGGAGACGTTGGCCTGTGACAACAACAGTCAGGAAGAGCACGGATGAAGTCCCTGACACACATATGGCTGTTTAGTAAAGCTTGTGAAAAACTTTTGGCAGTGTGCGCTATGTTGTATTGCTATATATGCTGTCTATAAATGTAGGTGTTAAAGATAAGTGATCTCAAATTTATTGTTAGCATCAGAATTGTAATAAGTTTCCTTTCAATCAATGGATTTAATTTGTTGCTGTTGATCAAACTTATGTTAATTGGATATTTTAAATTTTCGGGGCATTTTCCAACAGATGCCTTTATTCTTAAAGAAAAGAGCAAAGTAATTAAATTTCTAAAGAAATTAGGGAGCAAAATAAAAACAAAGTAGATAAATAAAGCAATATCAATTATTAAACCAAGCCAATAGTCGACCCTTTGAAACAAATTGGCAAAATTGAATGACTTTTGGCCCAAATTCAGAGAGTTAATTGAAAAATCAAGGAAGAAGAAGGTATGAGCTCCCATTTTTAAGCAAACTTGGAAAACTAGCTAAGGTCATCTTGCTAGAATATTGAAGAAGTTTACATACGTTTCTGAAGGGTCAATTCAGTTTGAGCAATGAGGTATTTGTAATAGATGCTGGAAAATGAAGAATTAGTTTGATTAAATCATGTGAGGTAGCACGGTGAACTAACAGGTTCACAAAAAGGGCAGTCTGAATTTCTGTTTAAGTTTGCAGGTACCTCTTAGACTCCTGAATTGATCCAGTTGTCATCTGCCACAGACATCTAACATCAGATTGAATTTCAAGATTGGCAACAGAGAACACTGCTGGGAAAGACCTGAGCGGAAATGAAAGACCACCTGCATAGATGAAAAGCCAGTGGGAACCAAGCTACATTTTCATCTGGAAGAGCAAATCTTGTGGGAAAGTTCTCTGTTGTTTCAGATTGTAGAATGCTATCGAATTGGTCTGTGGAAAATTGCATTGTTACTATTTCTTTGTGTAATCACTTTAATGAATAGGGGATATATATAATCATAAGTAATTTTAGGGTGGGAGGGATTAATAGTAATCTTAAGTGGGTGGGATTAGTTAAACAGCATGATTATATATTAGATATCTCTATAAGTAGACATATGTACTTGTGATCCTTTATCCTGTGATTGCTACCTTTAATAATTTCAAATAAACTCGGAGGGAACTGCAGGGAGATTAGCCTATTTAGGGTGACTGGAACATGGAAAAAAACCCTAGTGGGATAAAGTTCAAAGGTGATTAAATAGATCATTTAATAGAGGCTCTTTGCCTTGGGTATTAACTCCAGGGATTAAGATTGTGAGCAAAGTCTTTAGTGAGTGACAGGGTGGATAGATACCCTTTGAGAAATGGTTGCTGAAATGACATTGATATGATGTATGGTGAATAGTCATGAAAGTTATACAAAAATGGTGCATAAGAAATGGAAGTGATGAGTAAGAAAAGTTGCTCCCATCAGTCGCCCTCCTTTTTACCTCTTCTCCCTACCCCTGTCCCACATCCCTATCCTCCCCCATTATTATTGCTGTATTCTCTTTACTCTATTTCTCTCAAATTACTAATATTGATGTTATAATAAATTCAATTAATAAAGATTTAGTGGTTAAGTGCAAATTGTGTCCTGATCATTTCAGCGTCCAACACCATCAAGGGAACAGGGTAGGGAAGTGGAGGGGTGAGGGAGTGGACACAATGGGGGGAATGGGGGTGGAGAGTGTGAGGTGAGGGAGTGGATGGGGTGGGAAATTGGGTGAGGGGGAAATGAACAAGGGGGAGTGGAGGGGTGAGGGAGTAGACAGGATGGGAGAGTTGGAGGTGGAGAATGTGAGGTGAAGTAAGGGAGTGGATGGGGTCGGTAATTGAGTGAGGGGATGGACAGGATGGGGGAAATGAACTGGCGGGGGGGGGTGGAGTGGACAGGGCAGGGAGTGGTGGGGGAAGGAAATGGAGGAATTAGGAGGGTGGGGCATAGGGTTCGGGGATAGGGGAAAAAGGGTTGTTGAGTTGAGGGTAAGTTTCCAAGTTGGGGAGGCTGATGAGAAAGTGGGATAAAGAATACATTGAGCCCAGCTGGCGTGGCTCAGTGGTTGAGCATCGACCTATGAACCAGGAGGTCAAATTTCAATTCCCGGTTGGGGCACATACCCAGGTTGCGGGCTTGATCCCCAGTGTGAGGTATGCAGGAGGCATCCAATCAATGATTCTCTCTAATCATTGATTCTCTCCTCTCCCTTCCTCTCTGAAATCAATAAAAATATATTTTAGAAAAGAAAAAAAAGAATACATTCAGTAAGCAAACCACTAGCAATTATCCACAATACTACAGGGAATCAACTAAATTATTACACAGCTGCAAAACTTGTATAAAATTAAGTCACAATTAATAGCAACTATTGACATAATATAAAGAATTAAAGCTGCAAAGCTTTAACACATTAAAAAGCCACACAATAGAGATTCTATTGACAATATATAAATTTATTTTTAATATCAATTTTACATGGAATACTTGAGATTTACTAATTGAAAATTATAAAAACATAAGAGGACAAAAAGGAAGACATACCAAATGAAGTCAGGTAGCAATGTGCAGGAAATTAGCACATATTATTAACAACAATTAGTACAATATTAGAGTGACTGTAAAAGTCATCTAAAGAAAAGTGACAAATGAGGTTTTTGAAGTATTTATCCTATCAGATTTTCAAAACATAATGACATTATTCAAAGTTGTAGAATAAGTTGCACATAGAAACCTGAACTAATAGCAGTAATCATTTCAATGCATATAAGTTGAACCATTATGCTGCACACCATAAGGTTATACAGTGATGTATGTCAATTAGGTCTTAATAAAACTGGAAAAAGCATACACAACAGATTGCCATCTCATCCCACCCTCACCCCCATCAAAATAAAAAACAAACAAAAGGAGACTCTTAATGAGGTATCAGTTTTGAAGAGTTGCTGGGTTCATATGACATGGTGGTCACATAAACACGGGTTTGTTGAGAAGGATACATGGAACAGTAACTAAATGGGAGATCTGGAGTAATATAAAAACAACTAAAAACTCTCCTGGGAAGCAAGGGACCCTAAATAGTTGTCCATCTAGCCCAGAATTCACAGACTTTCATGGAGTATAGTGTGGTGGACAGAAATGGAGAAATTGGCAGGGGCACACAATCAAATGACTATCAAATGCCTGCCTGAGGGGTTGTTTAAACTATATATATAAAAGCCTAAGCGTCCATTACAACCAAATGACCGGAACAACTGGTCAACCAGTAACTATGACGTGCACTGACCACCAGGGGGCAGACGCTCAATGCAGGAGCCTGGTGGTCAGTGCGCTCCCACAGACAACCTCCTGCAGCCCCTCCCCCTCTCCATCATGGCCCATCAGGGGGGCTGGACAGGTGGGGGTGGAGGGGCCACAGAAGGTTGGCCAGCTGGTGTGGGGGAGGGGCCACAGGAGTATGGCCAGTGGGGAGGAGGGCCCATGGGAGGTTGGCTGGCTGGAGGGAGGGGCCATGAGAAATTGGCTGGCTGGCCGGGGGGAGGGGCCACGGGAGTTTGGCTAGTGCTGCGGGGGAGAGCCACAGGGCCATGGGAGGTTGGCCAGCCATGGGGAGGGGCTGCAGGAGGTTGGCCAGCTGGTGGGGAGAGGGGCCACGGGAGTTTGGCTGACAGTGGGGAGAGCCACAGGGCCACAGGAGGTTGGACAGCTGGGGGTAGGTGCTGCAGGAGGTTGGTCAGCTGGAGGTGGGGAGGGGCCATGGGAGGTGGGCCAGCTGGTGGGGGAGGAGAGGCCATGGGAAGTTGGCCCCTCCCCCCCAACCAACCCTCCCATCAGCCCCAATCAGAGGGAGGGGGCCAGCTGGCCAACCTCCCGTGGTCCCCCGGCCAGCTGCCCCCTCCCCCCATAGGCCTCAATCGCCAGCCAAGCCGAGGGACCCCACCTGTGCAGGAATTCATGCACCAGGCCTCTAGTGTGGTATCAAATCACTCTGAAACAGCGATTTTCAACCTGTGGGTCGCGACCCCTTTGGCTGTCAAACTACCCTTTCACAGGGGTCGCTTAAGACCATCCTGCATATCAGATATTTACATTACAATTCATAACAGTAGCAACATTACAGTTATGAAGTAGCAACGAAAATAATTTTATGGTTGGGTCACAACATGAGGAACTGTATTTAAAGGGCCAGAGGTTGAGAACCACTGCTCTGAAAGGAAACTAAAATGTCCTATTCATCCCTGTTTTTTTATACCTAGACTCCTCCGCATCCTGACCCCACCCTTCCCCATAAATCACATGATTAAACAAAACTTAAATGAAACAATAAAAGTTGCTGAGCCTCAAGATTGCAATACCTTTGATTATACAGCTGGATGACAAGGCTAGTCCAGAAAATTAAACTCACTGTACTCATCAATGGTAATATTTGTTGAAGTCATGCCTGTTCTACAAAAAAAAACAAAACATAAGTGGCTTCCCAAAGTGATATCAACAAATCTATTTATAGCTGCAGAAATTGCTTAAAGAAACCCTCTGATGCAGTGTAGTCTATGGCAGTTATTAATCAAAAACATTTTTTTAAAATGAGGTCCACACTCTATAATGTAAAACATAAATTTACATTTATTGGTCAATCTTGATAGAGGCCTATTTCACTTTATTGGAGCTCTGAGTTACCATTCTTGAATAAATTATATCAGTAACACCAAATAAGTAACACTGGGAAAGTGCAGAACTCTAAAAAATCTATAAAGCAATTAAATATTAGTGTGGAAGAGAATCAGTTTTGATCCTTACCTCAAAAAACACAGTAATGAATTCCAGATAAATCAAGAACTACAGAAAGAAAGATGTGCTTAATGGTGGGGGTGGTAAGCAAATTATTTAGGGATTAATAATGACAATCACAATTTAGCCAAATGGTTTTGAATTCATAAAGAACATGCACAGCAAGAATGAGGACATATTTGGTGCATACCTGTAAAATATGCGATAACTAACTTATTACCAAACACCTAATGCTTTCCTTAGAGAAAGTAAATACCCAACTCCTACCCTTTACAAATTTTCTGGCTTCTTTGAATATATGTAGAGAGAAATCTGGATGGATAAATAATAATTAAATAAATAGATGGATGAATAGCTAAATGAATAAATGTAAGTGTTCAATAATTGGATTTTTTTTTTAATGTGCTGGAGATTAAGTAAATACCCAAACCCCTACCCTTTACTCTTTTTTTCTGGCTTCTCTGAGTACATGTAGTGAAAAATCTGGATGGATAATTAATTAAATGAATAAATGTGTAAATGGATAGATGGATGGATGAATGGATTGGTAAATGAATAAGTGAATAAATGTGTTGAATGATCAATAATTATTGATTTCTTTTAATGTGCCAGACACTGGGTTAGGTGTTGGGGGACACAATGCTAGAAACTGACCTTTTACTGAGATACCTAATGCAGTTGAAGGATGAACACTTAATGATTCTCCGGGCAAGTACCCCAACTTTCTTAGGCACCATGATTGCCCAAAACATTTGGGGACAGGCACTATTATATCATCATTTAGTGCAGACAAAGAATTTGTCTTTCCTAATTTTTGTCATTTGAGTTTTTTTTCTAGAATATACTCAATTTCTTAAATGTTTATTTTTATTAGTGTTTGAGAATTCAAAAAGAGGAAGAGAGACTAGATGGTTTTCTCCTCCCTAATTAACCTCCCAAGAAACCCTTTTAGCACATAATAAAGGTCCCTAATTCTATTCCCAGATAATCCCCAGAGATAGTTGACACATTACATTAGGAATCTTGCTTCCCGGTAATTCAAAATAATTTATAGAATGACATTTAACCCAAGACAAAACTCTAAAGAGAAAGTGATCCCCTGGAAGATCTTTAGTTACTATTTTATATCTGGCCTTATAGTCCTTACATAAGAATACTCACTGAATTAAAATTTATTATCACACCTGGCCAGCGTGGCTCAGTGGTTGACCGTTGACCTATGAACCAGGAGGTCACAATTCGATTCCCAGTCAGGGCACATGTTCGGATTGCAGTGCAGGAGGCAGCCAATCAATGATTCTCTCTCATCACTGATGTTTCTATCTCTCTCTCCCTCTCCCTTCCTCTCTGAAATCAATAAAAGTATTTTTTAAAATAATAAAAAAATAAAAATAATTAATTATCACATACATAATTTGTATCATTGGCTAGTTCTTCTCAAGGAGTCCATGTCATAAACCAAGAAAGAAATAGGTAGATGCTGTATCCTGACACAGCCCCTCATGAAAATTTATTATAGAATTAAAAAATTAAATAATAAAAACATATTCTTTCTATTCTATTTCTAAGAGTTTTCATCATTTTTATATCTCATTTACATCAACCTGATGGTAGAATATGTCTAATAAAATACCACAGCATCCTATCTTCTAGCCCTAAATTGATTTCAAGATTATGTATTGCTCATTTTTATAACCTGAGTATCACACAGATTTTATCACTGCCTGGAGTTCTTAAGAATAAAAGGTGATGGTACTTTACTAACATTAGGGCCACAAAATTGGCATATCAAATTGCCCTGTCC